ACAAAAAAAAAAAAAAAAAAGAGGGCGAGATGTCAGGGTGGACACACAGGACAGGCCATGGGAGGACGCAAGCAGAAGGCAGCAACTGCAGACCACAGAGCAAAGCTTCGGGGGACAGCAGCCTTGGTCCGCCTCCATCTTGGGCTTCAGCCTCCAGGACTGGAGCCGCCCAGTCAGGAAGCTCCTCAGGGCAGCCGGAGCAGAGACAGCACCACCCCAATACGCAGTCCCGGGACAACCCCGGGCCAGGCCCCACCCAGACTGCGGCCCTGTGACTGCCGGGCTTCCCCAGTGGGTGGAAGGTGGGGGTCCCCACGGCAGGCTCCAGGCTGCAGCACCGTGAACGCCAGCATCACAAGCTCGGCCTGCAGCCTGTTGCTCAGCTCACAAGCTGTCTGTCCACAAAAGCACTGGAGAGACAGCTGAGGAATCACATTGGCTTTATTGAACCATAGCAACAACCCACGCAGCCCTGTTCTTGCAAAGCACACAAAAAAATCATTTATAATAAACTTTTGTACATAAGAAGTAGTAAAATACATCATTTTTCATAGAAAAAAGCACACACACAAACTGCGGGCCAGGTGAGCCTACAGGTAACTGAGAAATCCAAAGCCCTTCCCAGAATGATGGCAAAACCAGAAGCCAACCGGAACTTCGCTGGCGAGGGGATGGGAAGGACTCAGGTCAACAACAAACTGGAGGTGGCCTGGTTACAGAGGTTCATGGTTTACACTCGCACTTCATCTCCCACAGAACAGTGGTTCCAGTTCCAAATGTTTATAAGGGTGGAAAAGGCCTCCAGGTCTGACCCTGGCTTCATCCGCCACCTCCCAGGCGGACAGCAGCTAAGGAGACACGGAGGACCTGGGACTAAAGTGACAGCGCTGGCTACACTGGAACTTCCGGTTCGGCCTGGGGTGGGCACTCTGGAACCCGAGTGCTGGACCCCACCGGACTCGCCGGGGGCACCGATGCAGCGGACGAAGCCGGGGTCTGGCCACACAACTCCTCCACGAAGAGCTGACGTCCAATGGTCATGAGCCGCCCACCTGAGCGGGACCCAAATCATTTGGCCCCAACATCAGGGTCCCTGAATTACACAGCGACATCATCCTGCTGCACTGCGCTCAGGCAGCCGACAGTTGGCTTGTAAAACCCCAAAGAGGGTTGATTTTTAAAAGGTGGTTATCATCAGGGTCTGCATTAATTAGGGCAACTGAACAAAAAAGGAGCCACCTGAACCCACTTGATTACCTGCTGTAGTTCCTTCCCTGTGACACATTCTGATGACAAGTGACATCGACCTACAGCAGCGAATGTGGAATTTTGCCCTCTCCAGGAGGCAATTTTCAAAGGGTGTTGCATTTCACTGTGGCTCTGGCCCAGCTCCTGAAGAAGTTTCTGAGTGACAGAAGCCAGGGCTCACAGCACAGAGTCCCTCAAGACCCAGAAGCTGGACCACGAAAACAGAAAGAGAACCCCTTCTAGTGCTGTCCTCGTGCTGCTGCGCCAGGGACAGTTTCCTGACCGAAACAAGCAGAAACACATTCTCTCCCAGCCTCGCCCGTGCGGGGAGCTGCCCTCGGCTGTGCTCGGACACCTTCTTGGGACCACCAGACCCTGGGGGTGAAGCCAGAGCCCTGGCCACACAGTGACACTGGAGGGGACAGAAGGGACCCGGAAGCATCAGTCCTCAATGAGACCAAAGGTCACGGCAGGAAGCAGGCCACACACAGGACGCAGGGAGTGACAAAGACAGGACGCATCTCTGAGCTGCTGCTGAAGTCTGCACCAACCAGCACTGCTGAGTGCACAGCCCCCGCTGGTGCAGAGCAGGCCCGGGCAGGGGGGCCACACTGCCAGGTGGGCCCGGCTTCCCCAGCCACTTGTCTGACCAGCAAACGTGAAGCTCTTTTCTCCACCAGCGGGGATGGACCGTGGCTTTCTACTTTTAAATAACCACTCTCTCTCCATTCCTGAACCCACGAACTGCTGGGGCCTCCTCCAGGCCCAACACCTGGCAGTGGCAACCTCCAAACACTGTGTTCTTTTGAGGGTGGAATCTGCCCGCCACTCCCAAGAGAACACCTGGCCAGGGCTAGCTTGGTGACTGGACTCTATAAGGGATAGGGCCGGCCCCTAAAGGAGAGAGGGGCCCTGCATGAGACCCCAGGGCCCAGCAGGTCTGGTGCCAGCTGTTCACAGATCTGAACACTGTTAGCCCACCGCTGACCAACAAAGGACACGACACCAACACCGTTCTGAGGAAGTTCCCTGACCCTCCGCTTCCCCACCCCACTCCCCCAAATGACAAAAGGAAAAGCAAAACCCCGAGTCCCTGTTGAAGACACCCCTTGTCCCCCATGTGGAACGTTCACTGTCGGACTGCAAAGATCCGGAAGGCCTTTCCGTCCCGGGCAGCACTCAGGCTACAAGAGAAGGGAGAGGGCACAGTGCGTTATAGGGGACCGGCAGGACAGCGGGCACAGCCCTGCGGGAAACGCTGCCCTGAGTCAGGCACAGCAGGGAGCCTCAGGCTAAATCTAGGTCAGAGTTCTTAAGAGTTATTTTCTTTAACTTGGAATTCACCTGCCCGGTGTGGGAACCGGGCTCACCCACCAAGACTTCTGTGTGGTTTTCGCTGCCACCTGTCAGCCCAGACAGCAGCCACCTGGCCGGCGGAGTCCCAGGCGGGGCTCACCTGGAGCCGGGTCTCTGTGCCGCCACTCGGCAGGCTCATCACTGTCCTCCGGGCAGGTACGACCATCACAGCCCTGCTCCACAGGGGACGGATGGAGTGGCTGCCCCAAGGCCACACGCATGCCGGTCAGCACCACAGCTCTCAGGGGAAGCAAACACTTCACTGACCGAGACATGCCTGTGTTTAACAGCGTCACTGGAGCACGACGTGCTGACATGTGGCTCTAGGGGACAAGTCAGTGGGTTTCACAGACCTCGCGGGCTGGTGCAGTCACCATCAGGGGCTTGATATCCACTCACCTCCGCCCGTGGCCGCCCCGGTGACCCTGTCTGGGTATTTCTGGGCATTTCCACTAACCGAAACTGGAATTGTGTACCATGTAGCCACTGTCTGGTTTCTCCCATGTGCACCAAATGTGTTGGTGCCACCTCCCCAGTCTGGCCAAGGAAGACCCCAGCTCAGAGGGCCGTGCTGCATTCACCCGCTGCTCCCCTGTTCAGGGACGCGGGATTCTCTCCTTTCTGTGCCAGTGCTGTGAGCCCCGGGCCTGAGCTTCAGACTGACAGACACGGCCCCGGGGCTGGACACTTAATGGGGACAGGACAAAAGCGCCGCTCAGCTCCCTCCCACCTCTGCTCGGGTCATCTGTTAGAGGCCCTGTGGCCAGGGACGCCTCTGCCCTCCCTCTCCCTGGCGGGCAGGGTGAGAGAGAAGGCTGCTGTCCGGGCTTCCCCTGCCCACCGATGGCTTTCACAACTTCCGGGAAGCCGCTTCCTGCACAGGACGCTGCGAAACCAGAGAAACCGAGACAGGGCAGAGCAAGGGCCCTCAGGAGGGCAGGGGGATTGCGCGAGGGACCAAAGGACTCTGAAATTTCAATGCCACTTTTCCCACTCTGGTCACAGTGCCCTACCCCTACGCCTCCCTCGGGACCATCTGTGGTCCCTCCAGGGCCCCAACAGCCACCGGGGAGGGGACAGCTCTCGGGCGAGGCCGGTTCTTCCCATGGAGCCACCTGAGACTGCCAGGAAGCAGCGCTGCGTCTCCAGGCCGGAAGCCAACTTCCCACCACCCTGCAGCTCTGGGGCTTTCGCAGCACACTTCCTGGCAGCCCCTGGGCGAGCCTGCGCACAAATCACGCTTGCTCCTCACAGTGACGCCTGACACAGGAGAGGCTGGGGCTGGGGTGCTGCCTGGCCAAGATGACCCCACTAGCAAAAAGCAGAGCCGCCAGGCACCGCCTGCCATGGCCGCAGTGCCAGTGCCTTAGATGCCATCCAGTCGACTAAGTGGGCGGCTCACCAGCACCATGCCAGACGCGCCGCAGCCGCTCCTGGGGCCTGGGGCGCCTCGAGTCCCGACTATAAAACGTTACTGACACCACACCGTGCATGTCCTCCCCTCTGCTCTAACCTGCCACTTCATCACCTACGCTGGTAGGAAGGCCCTGGGAAGAGCTGATACTTGGTATCACTAGGGAATGACGGCAGGAAAACGCCCACGTGTGTCCTTCCTTGTTCTGCGCAGTTAGCTTTTATGCCACACTATGGAGCTTCGCTTTGATTCCACTTATTCTGTGGGGGGAAATGCGCCAGTGCAGGTGTGTGTTTGCACACACACACGCACGTGCACAGAGGACCAGAAGCCCACACTAAAAGCCCAGCAGCCTGTCCGTCCCCCCGCTGACGAGCACGATGCCTGCTCTTCTGGGGTGTGAGAGCTCTGCAGGCTCTAAACTTCCTACAAGAACATGTGTTGGCGGTAGTCAGAGCTCTTTCTCTGGAAACCGGCAGGGTGAGTGCCAAACAGGCTGGGCCTGGCCAGCATCCAGGGAGATGGACCGAGCCCGCATGCGTCCCGCTGAAGCAGGACCCCGGGTCTGCGCGGGGCCCACTCACCTCTCCGACTGCACGCCGTTCCTCAGCGAGCCCGTGTAGCTCCGCTTCTTGTCCACGGGCATCACGTCCACGGAGCCCCCACTGTCGTCCTGGATGGCACCGGCATGCACGGCCGCCCTGCAGATGCTGGACGTCTGCAAGCAAGGGTGGAGGTCAGGGTTGGGGACACAGGGCCGAGGAAGCTCCCGGGCCAGGCTGTGGCCTCGCTCCCTGCCGCTGGGGTGAACTGCAGGGACCCCAGCCAGCAGCACCTGGCGTCACTCGTTCCCCCAAATATGACTCCCTGAGCACCCAGGGTGCGCCAGGCGCCATGACCCAGGAAGTAGGCAGACACGAACATGCGCAGCAAGGTCCCTTCAGTGGTGGGGAAGAGAGAAGCCGGGCCTGAGACAGACACAGAAGGTACCGAGCTGTGGTCAGGGAGACTGAGAGAAGAGGGGACAAGATGCAGGCAGCCATAGGGTAACTGCACAGAGCCCCCAGGCAGTGGGGGCAGGGGTGCAAAGGCCCTGGGGCATGATTGAATGTGTTATGTCCCAGGGTAAAAGTAGGCCAGGGTTGCTGGGCCTCCAGCTTGCGGAGGTTCTGTTTCCTGGCCCCTGTGTAGCCTGTTCTGGTGAGGAAGCCAGGCTGAGTTCTCATGCGGGCTCAGCTGGCCCTGCAGAAAGGTGGCCTGGAGAGCTGAGCTCAGCAGTTGTGGCTGGCGCCGCTGTCCCTGTGATCCCCAGGCTGTGTCCCCACCTCCTGACCTGGGTCCCCCTGGTGAGACTAGCTGACTGAGATGCCTGCTCTGGGGGACAGCAGCCCTTTGCCCTGATCCCAGAGGAGCTCTGACCACTGCTTAACAGGCGTTCCCTGGACAACAACCCGTCGTAGCCTTGGTGGGGAACTGCAGGGTCTTTGTCACACTGCCTATTACCAATGCATACTTCTGCCACCCATGTCAGGAAATGCATCCCCTCTTCTGGCCACACCTCTGCCCTCCCTGTGTCTGCAGAAGATGCGGGGCATCTGCTTGTCCTCAGCGCCTGGCGATGCAGACTCCTACACGTTAAGAGCTGCTGCTATCAGATGGAGGCTGGCACCGTGTGCAAGGGCTGGGCAGCCTGGGGTGATGGCGTCCACCCCCAGCCTCTGTCCTCACTGTTCTGCGGGGCTCAGCACGGTGACATTTTGGAGCACTTACATTGTAGTGGCCCTGTTCAAAGCGTTTCACTTGTGGGGACGTAACGAGCCGGGTCACTAAAAATGATGACAAATCTCTCTCAAAGGACAAATAGCAAGGGCCAGGGGGGCCTGGCCAAAGCCACGCAGCTGGCCAAGAGCAGAGCCAGGACCACGGCCAAGGCCTGCAGCCCGAAGCTGTCCCAGCCAGGGTGGCAGTGATGAGGGACAAGAGTCCAGGTGACATTAGGTGAGACAGAGGAAGCAGATGGCACGCCACGCTCACAGCTATGAGCTCCCATGACCACCACCACCCCAAGTAGCCAGCGTGCGCAGGACTGCGGTGGCTGCCTGGGGCCCTCAGACGCAGCCCTGGCCTAGAGCAGCAGCCTCACCTGGGAGCGTCAGAAATGCGACTCCCGGCCCTGCTGAGTCAGGATCGCTGGGGTCCCGGGAAATATGAGCCAGGGCTCCAGTCCAGTGCGGGGGGTTTAATGTGCACAGGAATAAGAACTTCCCAAGCAGCAAAGGAGGCTGGGAACTGGGACCACACAGCCCTGCCCGGCCCCAAGCCTAGGCCTGAAGCTGGGCAGCCAGGGAGGGGCGGCCGGGAGGTGCTCCAGGAGCAGGGCGCTCCCCAAACAAATCTGTTACACAGACAGTTTCCACGGCACCAACAACTCCCAGAACACAGACTGACCTAGAAATGAAGGCCAGGAGGGAGCCGCTGAGGGGAGCTGGACGGCCGTCCACCCCTCCTCCCCTTCTTTCTTTTTAGCATTGACTACAGGGTATCTCACTTCCCCCCTAACAAACGTGAACCGAGCCTCACTGTGCGCCAGACCCTCCACGAGCACAGGGGTGCCCAGGTCACAGCAGGCTCCTTCAGACAGGCAGGAGGGAGCAGGGACAGAGCACCCAAGGCTTCCTCTCCCTCTCCCACGCGTCTCCCGTCCGGGCACTGTGGGACTGGGTGGGTTGCTCCAGCCCACTTTCCTCCTGCACCGAGGGGGACAGGGCCCCAGGACGGCATCTTTAGAGCACCCCGTGCATGACAGGTGTGGCGCACAGAGCAGCTTTTCCACTGTTCCTCGGCATCACGCTTTCCCGCATCTCTAACTTCCTCCCACTTTATATTTAGCTGCGCTGTTGTCTGACGCACGCGGTCTGTGCGGTCTGCACGAGGAATGGCTTTGCCAGCTGGAATGTGTCCACCACTGCTGTCGCTGTCTGTCTGCATTGGACTAGACTAGCTTTGTGCATCCTTTATTTTGTTTACTTACTTGTTTCGCTTTTTTGAAACAGGGTCTCACTATGCAGTTCAGGCTGGCCTCGAACTCACGGCAATCCCCCTGCCTCGGCCTCAGCCTTGAGGCGACTACGTCCACCCCACAGCCTCTCTCCTCGTTGTGCACAGAGGCTGGGTTTGGTGACACTTTGGAGCACTTACTTTTTGGTGGCCTGGGATTGCAGGCATGTACCACCATGCCCGGCTCCTGGCCCTTTGTTTTAAATCACTTAAAATCATGGTCTCGGTCCATTAACAGCGACATTTGGTTCACACATGTAGTGTAACAATCAATATACGTGATTTTGCTCCTTCAAAAAAGTCCTAATTTTTAGAATTCAATTTTAGCCAAATGGTTTTCAAAAAGAAAAGGGCTACTTAAAGATGAAAGGGAAAGGATGGGGGGAGCTTAGTCATGAAGGAGGCCTCACATTTACGAGACTCTGAAATGGCTGCGGGAGCAGGCGAAGGTCTGGGACCTGATCAGAAAACCCAGGCACACGCATCCTTGTCAGAGGCAGGAGCGAGAGGGAGAGGAAACCCACAGTCCACGCAGCTGTGAACACGCGGCCCCGAGGGCATCGGACTCTCCTCTGTGCGCCCTGGCCGAGGTGCAGAGGCCGCGCGGACCGGTGAGCTCGGTACTCACGTCAGCATAGATGTTGGTTCCGATCACTGGGGCCCAGTAGTCCGGCTCGTCCCCACAGGAGGCCGGACAGCGGACTCTGCAAAAGAGGGGACATCAGCAGACGCTGACACAAGACTGCACGGCAGGGGCGGAAGTCACAGCCAGCGCCATGCGGCCTCTCCCTCGGCCACCGCCCAAGCCGGGAGGAATGGGTGGCAGCCGCACCCGGCCGGTCCCTGAGTGCCGCAGGGGTGCAGATAACCGGGACCCCAGAGTCCCTCAGACTGGAAGAGGTGGGCCTCAGGGGGCTGGAGGGCGGCTGACCAGGAAGAACACACGCTGCCTAAGAAGAGGCCTGCTGTGCTTCTCCAGCACCGGTCACCTCGGGGCCAAGTGTGCCTAAGGGGAAAGGATGGGGCCGGCAGGGCGAGAGAGTGAGGGATGGGAGTCTAAAAGCTCAAATTTCCCTACTTCTGGAGTGGCAGGTGAGAAACTCACATCTGAGATGTGTGCACTCTATCAACTCTTTCTCTGTATTTTCTGAAATTATTTCCTCCTGCTAATGCCGAAGGAAATTACTAAAAGGCTGTCATCCCCACGGGAAGGTCCGAGGCAGGAGGGTCAGCGAGGCCATGAAGGGGCAGAGGAGGCTGGGAGAGAGCCCTGGTGGGGAGAAATGGAATCAGGGAGCAGTGAGCCCTCCCAGGCTCCTCTGCCTCCATGTCCCTCCCTTCTCAGACTGGGGTCTCCTTCCAGAACCTTCCGGTCCCCGGGCTTTGGATGGGGCTCCTGGAGCATACCTCCCTTGGCCCCCCAGGGTGGCTGTCCTTGTCCTCAGCGTGTTCGGGGTAAGGGGACTCCCACTGTGTCCCCAGCTCCATGGTGGGGCTGAGTCAGAATGCTCTGCTGAGCTGACAATGGTGGGGACCGACAGGAGCCCCAGAGCCCCCACGGGGACAGGTGTGGTGGCACACTGGCGGAATGCGACACCAAACGCAGGGACGCGAGAGTGGGCTCAGACCCTCCCAGCAGGCAGGTGTCAAAATATGAGGTGGACACAAGAAGCCAGACCCCAGAATTAACAGCAGCCATGGCTCTCTGACGGTGAGAGGACTGTGTGTCGGGGACGGGTGGGAGGTGGGGGCAGGGCTCCTGATCTTGGGCTGGTGGCTACACCCCGCCTCTACACACATCTGCCCAGTGTCTACACACAGCACGCTGTGCACTCGTGGGGCGGAGCTCCCCGGGCACACTTCAAGGGCTCCTCCTGGATTGACCCGCAGGAAACACCTGGACCCAGGGTCAGCACTGAGCCAATTTAAAGGCGACAAAGGTCCCCCAATTCGAGAGTCCTGGACTAGTCTGAGAGCGAAGATCGGCAAACCTCAGAGACGAGGAAACCCCGGCCAAGGCCACCTTGAGGCGACACATCTTGTCCCAGCCCATCAGCCTTCCTCCTGCCTTACCTCGGGCAGTGGGAAACCGGCTTCTCAAATGGGCAGAGTTGAGCCACTGTGGTGTAGCAGTCCAGGTCCTGCTCTGTGGACAGAAACACAGAGGTGTGTGGTACAGGGAGTCACCTCTGGGTTTTTACATGGGACAATGTCCCTTCGAACATCACTCTGGGTTTTGCTGTCGCTTTGAGTTTGAGATAGGGCTTATGTTACCCAGGCTGGCCTTGAACTTGTGATCCTCCTGCTTCAGCCCGATGGCTGGAGCACCGCGGTCAGGAGAACAAAGTGTGCTGAGTTAGAAGCTTTCCTCTACTTGGACACAGCATGGGCTTTCCTCTTGGAAGAGCGAAGACCTGGTCTGGGGCCCTCCCTCCCTCCACCTGCCCACCCCTGCTTCCAGTGGCTGCCGGGTCAGCCCTGCCCAGCGGGTGGGTCACTGTCCTTCAAAGCCATCCTTGTGTTTAAAAATCAGCCATGTTACTGGTCACCTATAGTCCCCGAGAGCATGTCTGGGACTGGGTGAGCTTTCTCTCTAAAGAAGAGACAGTCAATGTTTTCAGCTTTGTGGGCCCATGGCTGATGTCAGGACCTCTCCACTCTGCTGTCCTGGCTGAAAGTAGCCATGATGGTGTGTCAACAAATGGATGTGGCTATGCCCCAATAAAACTTTATTGTAATATTTCCAGGTGTAGTGGCACAGGCCTGTACTCTCAGCACTTGGGAGGTTGAGGCAGGACATCACTTTGAGTTCCAGGCCAGCCTGAGCTACACAGTGAGCTCAGAACTGCATAGTGAGAAACCCCAGTGGCTAGCAGATTTGGCTCAGGGCTGCAGCCTACCAACCCTGTGTTACTTGGACAAGTCACAGGTTGCTGTAGCCCCCAACCAAGGACCAGTCAGGCCCTGGAAGGACGTCGTCAGTAGGAGGCTGGGGCAGTCACAAAAACTGGATTTAGAATAACATAAAATGTAAAAGCACTGAAATATGTTCCTGACTCAATTATTTAAGGAAAAACCCAGGTTACCAAATTGTAAGTAATTCCACTGCAAATTTTAAAGTTTATCCATTACTCATACTCATCATTTTTAATATACCGGGGGAGTATACTAGAACATCCACCCAGATGTTCCCTGCAGTTATCTCTAAGTAGTAGAATTTAGGTCAAGTTCATGTTTTAAAATATGAAAAAATGACTCTCTGCATTTTTAAAATGATGTAGATCACACAGGCGCTGTTTTGGTAATAAGAAAAAAAGCACCGTGGTACATCTTTATGAAAGTCGCTAGGCAGAGGTGGTCGTCTCCAGGGCAAATGATCAGAGGTCCTGGCCCACAGGACAGAGCATCAGCAGGCAGGGCCTGGGCAGCCACTTCCGGTTAGAGCACAACAGGAAGAGCTCCCTCTCCGGTCCCTGACAGACATCACCAATCCATCAGGCTCCGCTCACGGCTCAGCCCAGATCGGCCCCAGATCTCAACACAACACTCCATGTTGGTTGTGACCAAGAGTTAGGAATCGCCACTGCCCACAGAGTCTCTTAGTGAGCCCAGCCCCAGGCATCAGCACTGTGGCAACCCTAGAGCCATGTTTCCGGCTTGGCCATGAGGAGCAATCAGTTTCCAGTGCAGATGTGGAGACCAGTTGGAGAAGTGGCCTATGCAGAGGCCGGAGCAGTGATGCTGGTGACAGCTAGAAGTGAGAGTCCTGGGAACCCCAGGCTGAAGCACGCACCCCACCCGTGCCCAGCTGCCTGGTGCCTGGCCAGCTTACCTTTCACCTTTGACACCATGAATGAGCTGGAAGGTTTGTATTTGCTGGAAAAGAAAACGCGAGGTTAGTGCTCAAGGAAAGGCCTCAGCCAGCATAGCACACAGGTGGTGTCTCATGGCTGCCTCGACCTTAGAATATTCTGGAGCAGAGCTACTCTCTCTGCTGCCCAAGGACTCTGCCAGCAGCCTGGCAAAGCCTACAGACACTTTCCTGGGATGATGGCTTTAAAATGGGTAAGATAAACTTCAAACATTGGAAAGGAAATCAGATATGGGCACCACTTGTTTGTTTGTTTGTTTGTTTGTTGCGGAGGTTGCTTTTTGAGGCAGGGTCTCACTGTGTAGCCCAGACTGGCCTCAAATGCACTGTGTAGCCCACAGTGGCCTCGGACTCAAGGTAATTACCCTCCTGTCTCAGCCTCCCAAGTAATGGGATTACAGACTTGAGACATCACGCCCACGTCGGTGCCATTATTAAAGCCTGTCTGCGTCAGGGTTCGAGTCTTGCTTCCTTACTATGTGTGACATGTAAGACAGCATGACTAAGGGTGAAGGCAGTGGAGATGTTTTCAGAGGCTGACAGTACCCGCTGGCCCGGCTCACAAGGCTCAGGTTTGTGGCCGGCACAACACAGGAAAGAGAGGCTGTGTCGCCACAGGAGTGAGTCCTGCCCCATGAGAACCCCTGCTCTGCAGGAAGGGCCAGTGTGAGGCATCCAGAGACACCCAGGACCCCAACACCCCACCCGTGCCCAGCTGCATGGCTGCCCAGCTGGGCCGGGCGTGACTGACGCTGGTCACCAGGCCAACAACTCCGGCCAGGTCCCTCCCTGGGACAGAAGAGGGACACTGCCACATGCCTGAGGCAGAGGCCTTGCAAATGAGAATCCCCTGATGGCCTGGAAGTTTTCCAAGTGGCTCATAACTGGGATGGGAACAGGGAACAGGTGCGTTTTGTCCCCACTTTCCTAGGGCAGTGACCCGGGAAACCCTGAACTCTTCTCGTGGGACCCTGTCAAAGGGCAGGCTGCCAACACGAGCACCCTGACATTCACTATGGCCCAGTGCTGTCATCACGCAGGCAGGGTCCACGGTGCCCCAACCCCTGCATGCCAGGCACAAGGTCTTGGATGGGGCTGGGCTGGGGCAGGGAGGCAGGCCTTCCCCCACGCTCAGGGCGACAGCTCTTTCCTAAACACTTTTTAGGAAAGCTCTCTGCCTGGTGTGGACCCTTGTGGGGGACAGCCCTGGGTCCCGCTGTGACCCTAAGAGAAAGGGGTGGCCCCTAGGAGCAGGAGGAGCTGCCCCACAGCGACACACAGCAGAATGTGAGTCAGGCCCGCTGGACCCTGCAGCCCCGGGCGGCCCAGGCCTCCAGGAATCCAGCACCACTGCCCCAGCAGATGGGGGTCGCTGCACGAGAGCCGCCCATCCTAGGTGAACAACATCACCTCCGGGACAAGCAAACACAGGCTGCAAGCGCACCTGAACAGCTTGGGACCAGAGGAGGGATGGTTGGGTGCTCACACAGCCTTCACCAGCCAGGGATCCCCAGTCCAACATCCCAAGTCTGAGGTGATTCAACCCAAAACTTGCTTAAGCACTGATAAGATGCCCTAAATGTTTCTGATTTCAGACCATTTTGCATGTCAGATTTCCAAATTAAAGTTTTCCAATTGGTTAAAGAAAAAATTCTGAAAAAAAAACTTCATATAAAAGAAAACCAAAATCAGAAAGTCTCATTCTTTAGGGAGCAAGAAAAAGTACTAATCAGGAATTGGCCTGCCTGGGGCAGGGATGTAGGTCAGCTGTACAGGACCTGCCCAGCAAGCATGTAGGCCCTGGGTTCAACTTCTGGTATGAAAAAAGAAAAAAAGAATTAACCTGCCTATAATCCCAGCACTTAGAAGGCTGAGGCAGGAGGATTACTATGAGTTCAAGGGTAGTCTGGGCTACACTGCAAGACCAAAAAAACTCTTCAACATCCACCATTCTCTGTGCTACATTTTTGGTGGCCAGGAAAGCAAAAAAACAAAGTAGGATTCCAAATGCAACCAAGTGAAACCTTTGCTAGGAAAAACCTGCTAGAAATACACATCTGCACGGCTCCCAGGGGTGATTTCTGAGCTACAGGATTTCTGTCATCTTTATTTCTTCCCATGTCTTCCCAGGGTTTGCAACCACTCAAAGCTTCCATAACCTCCGGGGCCCAAAGAGAACCTTGCCAGGACCCGAGCAGTCACCTCAAAGACTCCACGCCGTGCCGCTGGGACTTGACGAAGAAGGGCTTCCTCCCCTTCCGGGTGACGTCCACCAGGCCGCCCCCGTCATCCAGGATGCCGAAGTGGATGGCGGCCCGGCAGATGCTGGAGGACTGTGGGGAGGGGAAGCCGCGCATGGATCCAAGTCCGCCTTTGTGGGAGACGGCCGAGCCGCTGTCCTCACCCACCTGACTCTCCAGCCCCCACAGCCACAGCTCTGTCCTCCCTGCCCTGCTCAGGGGCTTCACCCGACTGCTGTGACTCGAGTTGGCCACAGCAGCCCTTTCTCCCACTTAGGTGGCTTCGCCAGCTCTCAGCCCCGAGACGCCTGCTCTGCCCTCAGGTAGCAAGAGAAACCCTTCCTACCGACACCCACCCCTCCAGACGGACCCCGCATGGCTCCACAGCCACACTTACACTTTCATAAAACACAGTCCCGAAGACGCTGGCCTTGGAGCTCAGGCAGCCTGCTGGGCACTGGTACCTGCAGGGACAGGGACAAGTGCTCAGGGTTAATCACGGTGACGGAATCTCAGTCAATTCGGCCTAGATAAGTTTCATTCATGGAGACACCGTTGCCGGAGAGCAAGTGTGAGTTAGCCTGGCCTGACTCAAGTTCGTACCCCACAATCAGTCTCAGATGGTCACACACGGTGCACAGAAGACAGCCACGGGGCTCCTGATGCACCCCAAACCCTTGAACCCCCGTCACTGAAGACGTGTCAATGAGGAGGAGGCAGCGTATCTGGGTGTCACACCACGAGGGTCTCCAGCAGGGCAGGCTCAGGGAGGTGCCCCTGCGGGTGACAGGGCACAGGCAAGCCCTTTAGGGAAACCTTATGTTCACGTCTGTGGACCTGGGGTTTCCTTCTAAGTCCACACTCCTAAAGTCAGCCACACACTCCAGCTGTCTGTAACGGTGCAAACCGGAAATAAGCTAGCAGGTGACAGAAATGGCCCCACTGAGCCCGTGTGGCTGTACACTGGCTCGTTACGCAGCCACTGTGAATGAAGCGTTTGGGGAGTATTTATGGGCTTTGAAAATTAAGTGAAAACGTGTAAGAGGGACTGCAGGCCCCACCCACGCACAGCACAAGCCAGGCTGTGGAGGCTGCTGCAGGTGAGCCTGGGCGTCCCCAGGTTTGAGGGTGGCCAAGTCCCACCCAGGGACATTTGGGGGGCAGACCCCCCTTCTCCCTGCCAGATGGGTCTGTCCACCCCACCACAGGGTGGCTCGGGGCCACGTGACAGGGCATCCTTGCTCAGACACCCTCACGCCGAGTTAGCTGGGTACAGCATGGCCCAGGACCCTGGGAGTTCGGTGTGGGGACAGAGCCTCATCCAGGCACCGCTGGCTGTGTCCCAACCATTCCACCCCCACAGGCAGCCACCTTGGGCTCATCTGACACGGAGTGTGCTGGGCCCCCGGAGCTGTCATGGACGGGCTCACTCAATCACAGCCAATACAAAGGCTGCAGGCCCAGGCCAGCGTGTTTCTGGGGAACCAAAGCCTTCTCTTCTCAGCAGGTGCTTTACGTAACTCAACTCTGCTTAGACAAACTGATGACAGAATCCGTAGGCCACGTGCTTCCCTCTTGGAGGCCGTGGCTTCCCCACCATGATCCTGAGGGACTGTGTGAAGTGGGCCCCCACTGGCTGGGCACTGCCAGCTACACTGGTCCTGGCAGATGCTCTCCGCCCTCTGGAGGAACCACATTAATGGTGCTTGATGGGTCCCTTCTGCTCCTGGTGCTCCGTCATCGAGGGACTCCCAAGAAGTAGCCCTGTGTACCCCCAAAGGCCTGGGTGTCCATGCCAAGGCCAATCCAGCTGGACTCCTTGTGCCTGGAGGACAGAGGCATCGTCCACAGTCACATTTACAGCACATCTGACGGCTCCATGGCCCCAGAACTCCTTTCTAAACCAGTACCCGGAAAGCCCAGAGGGAGCACAAAAGCAGGCACGTGGGGGAAGAGACTGGCTCTGGGGACACTGGGGACAGTGGGCCCCGTTAGACACTGGGACACGCACCTCATCCCAGTCCTTCAGTGGCTCCCAGGTGCCTCTGTCTGAATTACCTTCCTGCTGGGCAGCAGAGCATCTGGCACCCAGGCTGAGGGCCTCCCGGGACTTCCAGTGCTAAACCAGGGAAGCCTTGGCGAGCCGGACAGTGAGAGGGAGCCCCAGCCGGGCACGAGGCCCCCCCGACCCATGCCCGGCAGTCGCCTCTAGCTGCAGCCGCCTCATCCCATCCCAGTGAGCTGAGACTCTCCTGGTCTTTGGGGTCCGTGTTTCTCAAAGTCACACTGGTGACATCCTGTGCTCACCCCCTCTCTGACCAGGGTGGGCCAGGAATCTGAGGTCAGTGGACAGTGCAGGGGCTCCACAAGTGTCTGAGGCCTGAGCACATTCACTGATACACTGAGAACTCCCTAGGGGTTCTGCCGACACATTCGGAACCCCAGGTCCAGGGCTTTAGCTCAGTGGTTCCACCGCCTGCCTCGCAAGTGCAAGGTCCTGAGTTCGATTCCCAGTACCCAAAACAAAACAAAACATGCGGAATTCCAAAACCTAGCATGTGCCCTGTGCTCCCCAAAGCCGAGGCCTCAGAGGGTGTGGGCCCAGGTCTAGCAGAGGACAGCGGTGGGTGAAATACTCGAGATGCTGGCATTGTGCAGACCCTGATGAGGTGTCCACACTAAGGGCATCGGCAGAGGCTGATTTGCCAGCAGGCACTGTCCACTCCGACAACCACTGGGTCAAAATAATGATGCTCTCAGAAGTAGTCACCGGGCCTGCAGGCTGTAACACTCTCCCTAGGAGACAAAATACTAAATGGGAGGGGATCGGGGCCTGGGGCAATCCTCCATGCTAGTGGTTCTTAAATAAGGGTAATTCTATCCCATGAAGGTCATTTGTCAATGTCTGGAAACATTTTTAGCTGTTACAATGGGGGCTTTGATACTGGCATCTGGCAGGTTGAGGCCAAGATGGCTGAACATCCTGTAATACACAGGATGTCCCCACACTGTACAGGACATCCCCACAGTTCATACAACACTTCCCACAATGTACAGGACATTTCCCATAATGCAGAGGACACCCCTGTAATGCCAGAACATCCCCACAATACAAAAGAATGGCCCACCATGAAGACTTACTCGGCCCAGAGTGCCACTGGTAGCCAGATGGGAAACTGTGGCCTGGGTTTACAAAAAGGTAGTGTGGCAAGCTCTCAGTCAGCGGGGGCAGACACTACCAGATGTCATCTGGCACTGACTGACGGCACAGGGCGGAACACCCAGCTCTGCGTCAGTGATAAGCAGCATCTTCCACGAGACCGCTCAGAGCCTGGCGTGGGTGGCCGCTAAGGAACTGACGGTGCCCTGTGCCCACGGCAGGCACTTTGGGGCAGACTCTGGCCCTACTCACCTGTTGCATGTGGAGCCTTGGCATCTGTCCTTCATCTTGGTGTCACACTGGACAATCTGGGCTGGGGAAGAAGGGAAGCGTGTCATGCATGGCAAGAAGCCAGGGTGGCTGGGCTGAGGACCCTCCAGCTGTCCCGGGACACGGGGACCACGATTCCACACCTCAGCAAAAAGCCACAGCGCCACAAGTGTGGCCTGGGCACGCACCTCCCAAGTTCAGTGTCTGCACACACATGATGGGGACTGGGTGTGCCACTGTCAGAGGGTTTGTGAACATTAAATGGGACAGTGAGAGCCCAAAGGCCCCCCAGCTCCGGAGGGCAGAAAAATGCCTCTCCTCCCAGCGGGAGCAGCGAGACTTTCTGTTTTATTTTATAAGGACCTATCAGTGTCTGAGACTGTGTCATTGAAAACGCAGTCATAACTTTGCATTATTAAACCTGGCCCTGTTCTGCAGCTCTGAACGGAGCAGGGCAGCTGTAAGTCTCTGGTGAAAGCGAGCCGCAGGACAGCTCCGTGTTAGGGCACCGGGCCAGGCACACAAAGGCCGTGGGGAGAAAGGCTGGCAGGCGGCTGAAGGACTAAAGGAGGGGGCCTCAGAAAGGGGTGCTTGGGGAAAACAGAGAGCCACGCGCATCCGGCCCAGCTCGACCCACTCAGGTCCATGAGAGCAGAAGGGCAGTGGAGCACTGAAAGGGGAAGCAGAAGCCTTGGGTGCGGGGCTGGGGTGCCGGGAGGGCACAAGGCACATCCTGCATGTCGGGGAAAGCATTTACTACACACCCGACAGGGATGGGGGAGAGGCCGGGGGGGTCTCTAAACCCCCACAGCCCTGGAGCAGGCACGCTCCCCGCAGGGTGGAGGAGTCATCCCACAGGAGCCCCGTTTCACCAGGGTCCCTTAGAAAGGACACAGGAAGCTCCGACCGGAAAATGCCTGCCTGGCCAAAAACGCCACCCAAGCGCTCTGCCTCTAATGCTGGCTTTTGGTGACTTCAAAATAGGTGTCCTGGCCTCCTCGTCAGCCTGAGACTGTAACCGCCCCCGTCCTGACTCCACTCGCCCCAAAGAGCCCCTCCCCCTCCCCCAAGCGGGGACGCCACTCACTCATGTAGGTGACCGTGGGGCTCTTCTGGGGCTTCGTGGGCCTGACCACCCTGGGCTGGACCCAGACATGCTTCTCCTCGGTTACCGGGGGCTTCTCCACCTCGTTCATCTCGTCTGTCTCCGATGTGGGGTGGTGGGCTTCTTCTTCAGGACCGCGGAGGAGGAAAGAGAACCCTAAGACACTGCGGCAGGGTGGAGACCCCGCTTTCCCAGCCCCTCGCCTCGCTGAGGGTTCCTTCCCAAAACCCAGTGTCCGATGAGAGCACCCACGTCGGAAGTGCACAGGGCAGCCTGAGCTGGGGCACGTGGTCTGGCCTGGCCGGCTACGGGCCCAAAGCGCACACATCCAGCCGGGTCGAGCCAGTCCTCCGGAAGCCTGCTTTGTAAGAGACCCGATTCTCACACAGCTGGGGGACTGCGCTGCATACCAGTCCCCAAAGACCACAGTTCAAAGTCTGAAGGACCGTGTCCACTCGGTGTGGCCTTCACACCAGAGTTCTGTCCCCTGAGGAAAGCGGATGCCAGCACAGTGTAAAGACACCAGGAAAGAACCCAGGGAGCATAACTGATGCCAAAGCCATGGGCAGACCCTTCGAGAGCCCAGGCTCCCGGGGCTGTGCCCATGGTGGCGCCGTCTCTGCCCTGTCAATGCGGCCATTCAGCGCGGCCTTGCGGGCACCCAGCGGCCTCGGGGATAGGCCTGGTTTCTTCCACTGCCTCTGAGGTTTCAGACTCATAATCGCAGCTTTATTTGGCTGAGTCCAGTCTGGCGAAGCAGCCGGGCATTGGAGGGCTCACCGTTGAGGGGCCGGCAGAGTCCCTGCCCACAGATCCACATGTCAGAGGTGGGTGCTCCCCAGGCAGGCAGGCACATCCGATGCCCACCCCTGTGGGCAGTGACCGGGGCTTGGCGACAGGGCCACCTGCACATTTCCTGGGTCCTAAAACTGGTGACAAAGCCCAGAGCTGTGTGCTACACATCGGGGACAAATAGCCCTGCCCCAGCTTGTCGCTCACACCACCAAGGAGGAAACTGAGGCTCAGAGAGGTGAGGGGAGCACCCTAAGCTCACACAGCAAGGAGCATCCGGGCAGGGAGCCAGGCTCCTCCCTCCCAAGCCCCACTGCCCACCGGATATCCCTGCGCAGGTAGCTTTGGGGTAGAGGGAGACTACTCTCTCCTGACGCTGATCCAGGTCAGATCCCGCTCGCTAAGCAGCTTATGTGGTCAGGCGCTTTGGCGAGACTTTCCGCGTGGTTAGCTAGGAGATGCAGAAGGGCTGGCTGCCAGGGAAGCTGGGCATTTTCCACCAAAACCACAGAGCTGAGTACACGGAGTGTCCTTAAAGGTAAACTGGAATCTAAGGCCTTTGTGGGTTTTTTTTTTTTCCAAAAATGACCCTCTGTGGGGAAGAGTTGCTTTTTTTAATTCAAGCCTGCAGGACACACCTGCCACAGCCGAGGCCCCGGAGTCATGGCCACTGGGTGACAGGGTCCCCAGGGTATTGGGGCGGGGGCTGGGCCAGGTGTCCGGGCCGCTCTTCCCTCTGCTCCTGTCCCTCTCGGACAGCGCCAGCATGGGCAGAGTGCGCAGAACAGTTGGCTGGGTCAGAGCACTGGGCTCTCGGAGGGTCCGGGATCCTGGCTCTGGCCCACAGGGCCCACAGCTGACCTGGCAGCCTGGGAAGGTCAGGGCACAGGCCTCGTCCCACTGTCCTGCAGGGCCTCTCAGCTGTGTGGGACACAGGTCCCTGGCCTGCCATGCCCCTCTTGGGCTGTCTCCCGCCTTGTGCAGCCCCGAGATGTAGGACAGGCTCCGGACAGGCTGCTGGACCTGTACAGCAGTGGGAAAATGGGAGCTAAGCCGACAGACCAGGAGCTCTGGAATGGTGAGCCAGGCAGGAAGCTGCTTTTCCTGAGGCAGGAAGCTGAACCGGGGGCCAGCACAGGCCATGCAGTGACTACTGCAGAGCCACAGCCGTGCAGGGGACTCCAGTGCCTGTGGGTGGCAGGAGGAGGGGAGCCACACTCGGACACTGTCCCGGGGACAGGAGGTACTGGGGACAAGGGTGTGGGAAGCAGCACCCCAACACCAGTTCACCCGGCGCCCTCCTGGTGTTTGCCTGGGACTTCGGGCTCAGTCATCTGTTTAACCAGACTGCGTACTTTGGGGAGGCGCAGGTGGCGCTCAAGGTGCTGGTGCCCAGCCAGGGGGCCCCAGGGGGGACTTCCCAGGGCTGCATTCACAAAGCAAGGGTGCCCTACCTCGGTAACACAGGTTGTTCCTGCAGCCTCCACCGTAGCTGGGCGGGCACTCGGAGCACGGCCTGCCAGTCCTGTATGGGGCCTCTCCGATCCAGTTCCCTCTGAGGACAGACCAGAGCCACCATCAGGAGGACAGCCCTGTTCCACCCACCTGCTGCAGCCCTGCCGAGGTCCTGTGCTGTAGAACTGGGTCCCAGGAAGCAAGGTGCTGAGCCCGTCTGCCCCGGCAGGCCCACGTGAGGCACACGCGCCAGGGTGGTACGAGCCAGAGTCCCCAGCCCCAGCCTGTGCTCCTGCCCTGTTGAATGATATGAAGCCCTGGGCAGCCTGGCCCAAGGGCAGGGCCATTCAGGACCTGGGTTAAACCAACAGGCCTAGCTAGTGCCAACCTCTGATGGCTTCCCAGGGAGAGCAGGGGAGGCCTGCTGCAGCTGCCAGAGAACAAACGGCAGAGATACACTAATACAAACTGCCTGATACACTGGTCTGTGGCCCGAAGCCTCTGGGCTCCAAGATGGATGAATCCCAGTGCGTGGAGGACAGGGGGCCACAAGTGGGCGCCCCACCCTCAGGCACAAGAGGGTCCTGCCCTGACCCCTGCTGCAGGCCCCACCCTCTGATCTACTCCTGGGACTCACAGGGTCCAGGCACTGGGGATTTCCCAAATGGGACTGAAGGCCCCCAGAGCTGTTCCATCTCGGGAGACGCCAGGCAGTTCCTCAGACTGTTGTGGCCCCCAGGAGGGATCACCCCACTCCCAGGCACCTGTGAGGCACAGGGGGACCTCCCTGTGGAAGTTGATTCTGCAGGCCCTCGGCCAGCAAACGCACCCCGACCCACACCCGCGGCTCTCACTTGGGGGAGTAATTGCAGACCAGGTAGACGGCGTTCTCCCAGATCTCCCCCCAGACGTCTATCTTGCGGCACGTGTGCACGGCACAGCCAACCTTGGTGGTGGTGGCCCAGACTATCTGCAAAGACAGCACTCGGGGTCAGGGCCCAAGGGACAGGGCCCCCAGGGTGAAACAGGGCCCGGATGAGTGAGGGACAGAGGCTCCCGGAGGAACGGGTATGTATTAAAAGACAAACAGTAGCAGGCACACAAGGCCAACAACTGCCCGGCAACGTGACAGGGCCGAGGCAGCGTCTGGGGCCCCTGTGCATTAAGGCCATGACCACGCCCAGGTTTCATGGGGCTGGCCATGCCTTGGGGGAGGAAAAGGAGCCCTGGGCACCCCTCACCTGCGTGTAGTGGGTGCACATGGCACCCGAGCACCTCTCCGGGCACCAGGGGCTGCACTCGTGGGGGTACGGGTACGTGTAGTCCTTCACCTCGTCGTACCATGACTGCACATGGAAGCCAGGTGAGCGGTACCTGCAGGGTGCAGATGGGGTCACGTCCCAGCAGGGGCTGCTGGGAGGGGCGGCGGCGTGGGGTCGGTCAGCACCCTGGGGTCTGGCAGTGTGAACGTGAACTGGGGCCCTGGGTGTTCAGTCTTCACCGGCTGCTCACTGCTGTCCTGGCTGTGGTCACTGAGACAGCCCTGGACCCCGGCAGGGGACCTGGGCACACAGCCTGGCTCTCTGTGGTGGGCCGGGCACTACGGCATTGGGCAGCACGGACAGCTGGACAAAGCTACCTGGAGGGTCTAGAGGGACACAGACCAGCGTCCCGACAGCCAGCAGAAAGTGAGGCCACCTGCTCCTGTTTCCCAGCTCTCCCACGGTCCTGGGCTGCCGGCCAGGCCTCCCACCCTCTGCCAATTACTCCCAAGTGTTCCTGGGTGCCCAGCCTTGGTTGTCCCACCTGCCGATGTGCAGGATGCTCTTTCTTGCCTGTGCCCAAGCCTTGCTGGACAGACACCCACCCGCAGGTGCCAGCAGCCCGCAGGCAGCTGGCTCTCACCTGCCCCAGTGCACAGCCAGGTTCTGCCCGATGGACGTTAGCAGGCTGGTGGGCCCGTGCTCCCAAATGCACTCCTGGGCCCACGCTGCCGCCGACCGCTCCAGCTCCTCGTCCCAGGTCTGCAGGGAAGGGAGACAGGGCTGGGTGACAATGGGGTACAGGCAGGGACAGCACAGGCTCCAGAGTCAGCTTGTGGGTGGGGTGACCCCACCAGCAGGAATGTCAATGTAACTAAAATGAAATCCAATTAGAAACAGTTCCTCGGGTCGGCCCTAGAGGCACATGATGCAATCCTAGCACTTGGGAGGCTGAGGCAGGAAGATCACTGCAAATTCAAGGCCAGCCTGGGATACATAGCAAGACCCTGTCTCAAAAAGCAAAACAAAAAAAGAAGTTGAGTTCCTCAGCTGTGCTGGCTACATTTTCAGTGCTCAAAAGCTGCTGTGCGAACAGAACCCCTGAGGGTGAAGATGCCCTTGGGAGGGTGTCCTGGACAGAGGACATCCATGCAGGGACATCCATCCACGGCCCCTCCTCACTGTCAGCACCTGCTCTTCATGGACTGGGGAACACGGGGACAGAAGGTGGGACAGACCCAGAGCTGGCCTCTCACTACCACCGGAACTGAGCGAGGTGGGACACTGAGGCCAAGGTCGGGCGACAGAGGTGCCACCAAGGCCCTGGCAGCAAAGCCATGTTCGCACTGCTGTGGCAGACGGCGGGCGGCACTCACCACGTGCTCCATGTTGGAGGCGGGCGGGGACACCTGGCCCCGCAGCTGGTTGTGTAGCCGCAGGATCTCCTCGCGGTCCTCCCGGGGGATGGCCCTGCGCACCCGCGTGCGTGGCTCCGCCTGCTGGTACCGGCCCAGCAGCTCCCCCAGCTCAGTCACGTTGGGCAGGAGGAAGCCCTGGGCACCGCACACCAGCAGCGCCAGCCCCAAGGGGACGATGCCACTTGGGATGCAGCTCATGGCCCCACAGTGCAGAGGAGATCGTTGAGGTGGGCAGCCTGGGCTCCAGGTGGCACCGGATGCTGGATGCTCTGGAAGGAAGCGGAGGGTGCGAGGGCAGGGTGGGGCTGAGCTGGCCACAGCGCAGGCAGGCAGTGCAGTGGCGAGTGCTCCTTCCCGCTCGGCAGACAAGGAAACTGAGGCCCACAGAGGCTCCACGACCAGTGTCCTGCTAACAAGAAGGGTGGGGCTGGGGTCCAGACCCAGGGTTTAACGAGGTGAGCCACCCTGGAATGCAGTCCCGGACCACAGACTTCCTGGCTGTTGCGTCTGCTGTGGGCCCGGGAAGACGGTGGGGGTGGGACATGCATCCTCAACCCGGGGCGTGTCACCAGCCCCCAGTGGCCTGCCCTGAGCTGTGCTGCATGAAGAGGACACCTGGCCTCAAGCAGTTCCGAGTGGGTAGGGACAGAGAAGGGAGACCAGGGCCCCCAGGGGAAGCCCCACGCTGAGCGCAAACCCACGGGGATCCTGGCCCACACCCTGAAGCAAGCCCAGGCGCCACCTGTCAGGCTGGCAGCTGCAGGAGGGCATTCTGGGGGGGAAGTATCCCAGCGGGACGAGGCCAAGACGGGCATTCCAGGAAGTGGAGTCTTGGCACCGGGCGGCCAGGAGGGAGCCAAAGAGCTCTGGGAACACTGCGGCTCCCAGCCTGGCCCTGGAAACCCTCCAGGGTCCCGACCCAGCCTGCGCCGAAGGCTGGGCCACCCTTTGCAGAGAGCCAGTGCCGCTGTCCCTGGGGGCCGCCTCTAGAGGCAGAGCAGAGGACAGGCAGTGAGCACATCGTGGCCAAGAACCTCTGAGTCCCCGTCACCCCACCATATATGTACATCCCAGCTGCAGAGGCCAGGCCCAAGGAAGAGCTGCCAAACGCACCCTGACGCGGGGCTGAGGTGGAGGGGCTGGGGGCTGACATCAGCCGTGCCCCTGGCATCACTCGGCACTCAAGCTGTCTCACTCCGTGCTACAGTGTATGAGAGGTTCAGAGATGCTCGTGTGACTGCTGTGACCGCCCAGACAAACACCTGGGTCTGACCCAAACACACAGAGCTCAAAGGGCACCAGCAGGGGGCGGTGAGGCAGAGGGGATGGAATATTAGACTGTGGGGGAAAAGTGTGCCAGGGCTGCACACTGCCAGTAATAAATATTAAATACAATGGCCATTTTAAAAGCAAGCTGTAGAATATTATGCTGATACGATTTATATAAATTTTAAAATAGGGCTGGAGATATAGGAGAGCACTTGCCTATCATGCACAAAGCTCTGAGTTCCATTCCCAGTACTGCAAAAAGAGAGAAAAATGCATGTGTATATATTATGTATGATTTATGGATCTACACATGCGTGGTTGTACATCTGTGTTCCAGTGTGGCTGATAGAACCATGTCCAAATTCAGACCAAGTTCAGGATGAGGGGCAACACAGGCGGAGAGCAGAACTGAGTAAGACAGCCTCACCTTTCCCCTCGGGTAAGAATTCCACCTCAGAATGTTAAGCGAACAAGGGCCCCGTCAAGAGACCCACCACCCTGGAGGACCCGCCAGGCTGCAGGGGCCCAACATCCCAGTGCAGAGCCAGACCCCTACAGCCACGGCTCTGCCGGGGGTCTGTGCCTGGG